ACACACACACACACACACACACACACACACACACACACACACACACAATCAAAATTAGAAGGATTTACTCTTTGCTAGACACTGCCAAAGTGAACAAAGGGATGAGTCGTAGAGACCAGAAGAGAGTACCTGCACACCACACATCCGTACAGGCCTTGTTTGTTGAGTGTAAACCTGGCCTGGCCTTGAACTCACTATGCAGCCAAGGCTGGCTTCGCCCTCACAAATATCTCTCTACTTCAGCCTCTCAAGTACAGGGCTCACAGGGTGAACCTATAACAGGCCCCAGACCCTGGCAAAACTCTGTGACGGAAGTGCCAGTCAGGCTATACAACTCAGCATGTAGACAGCACCATCTGACAAAAATCCATCCAACAAACACTTAATCCATCCAAGTCCATCGTTCTGGAAAAGTCTCTAAATGTACTGACTGTTCTTTAACTGAAGTATGTCAACCCAGGATATGTGTGTGTGTGTGTGTGTGTGTGTGTGTGTGTGTGTGTGTGTTTATGCTTATGCTTAAAAGCGCACCCTGAGAAAGGCGGGGCTACACTGGGCTCCTGAACACTCAGTGTGGTCACTGGTTGGCTAGTAAAGACTTTCTATTGGCTTAGACCCCTGTCGAGCATTCTTGGGTGAATACCCTACAGCACACCAGCACACTCATCTCGGATAGAGGGATTGCATGTAGGATGTAAGAACACGGACAGAAACCAAAACCAAAACCAAACCAAACAAAAACCCTCACCTGATTAGAAGAAGAAGAGAGAAAGAAAGAAAAAAGAAAGGAAGGAAGGAAGGAAGGAAGAAAGAAAGAAAGAAAGAAAGAAAGAAAGAAAAAGAAGGGAAGAAAGAAAGAAAGAAGGGAAGAAAGAAAGAAAGAAAGAAAGAAAGAAAGAAAGAAAGAAAGAAAGAAAGAAAAGAAAGAAAGAAAGAAGGAAAGAAGGAAGGAAGGAAAGAACAGAAGAAATGTATAAGCTGGCAGGATGGCTCAGCAGGGAAAAGTACTTGCAGTCAAGCCTGAGGACCTGAGTTCAATCCCTGGGACTCATGTGGTGGAAGGAGAGAACCAACCCCCATAATTTGTCGCCGGAACTCCACACATCTGCCATGGCAGACGCATGACCAAATAAAAGAAAATTTTAAATGTTAAACAAGTACAAATGAACTACCCAGGCAGGCGCTTTGCCAGCAAATGCTATAATATGTATTAAAGTATTTGTATATCGTATATGTTATATATTATAGTAGATATCATATATGTATATATGATTGCATATTATCGTATATATGATACATATATAAGCCCATGAGATAATAATATACATTTCATATTTATAATGCTCAATGCCATTTGTTGATTGAGAAAAGTAAGTTAAGACGAAAGGGAGCTCTATAGATGTATAGACCATCCATTCACCTCGCCCATTGCTGGTGGGCTGGAGGAACGGTGCAGCCACAATTGTCCTGACTCTTTCAACCCCTCGAAATGATTGCTGTTTATCCAAGCGGTCAATCACTTCTCAAAGTACATCTGAAGACTCGTGCCCAGGCAGCTCCTGGCAGCTTCACTTATGACTAAAATCTGGAAACACCTCAGAAGTCCATCCAAACATGCCACTGAGCAATGGTAAAGAATGAAGCTTCCTCACACACAACAGCCTGGTGAGGGTCAGAGAGGGGCTTCGCAAGAAAGAGCGGGCTCACTGCGCCGTCCGGTACACTTAGAGGAAGCTCTAAGAGAGATGGAACCAGGAGGAAAGAAAGTTGGTCGTCCGGTTCCTGGAGGGGCAGGCCATGGGCACGGGGCTCTAACCGCAAAGGGCATTAGGAGGTCTGAAGCGTGGGGCAAAATGATGGTCAGTGCTTGACTAAAATAGTATTTACACAGTTGTGTGCATTTGCCAAAGTCGCTGAATGTATTCCCATTTTATTATTTCTGGTTTGTTTTAGTTTTTTGAGATGGGCTTCCTCTCTATAGCCCCGGCTGTCCCAGAACTTGCTATGTAGACCACGCTGGCCTTAAAATCAGATATCCTCCTGCCGCGGCCTCCCAAGTGCTGGGGGATTGAAGATGTGCGCCGCCCCTGCCTGACTACTTACTCAGATTTTATTGTGCACGACTCGCACATCAATACATCTGATTCTAAATACAAATCTGTGGCATAACTATTTCCCTCGTGAGTTCTCCTAATGGAAAGGCGCTGGGTTGGTTCCCCGACGGGTTGTTGGCACCCAGCAGTCAGTGGCTGGAGAGGGTTGGAGGCAGGCTTCTCCCCGAGTCAGACAGTAGAGGGCACCAGAGAACAGTGGCTGCCAGGTGGGTGCAACTAGGCAGAGCTCTTGTTGTTTTGTATTGTTTTTGTCTTTCCTTTTTGTAGCCTTGGCTGTCCTAGACTTGATTTGTAGACCAGACAGAACATTTTTTTTTTTATTGTGCTACATGAGTGTTAAATTACTGAGTGCTGAGCAAAAAAATAAATATGGAGGCTGCAGGCTGTGAGTCTTTGGGGAAAACCTGGGAGCTGTGGCTGAGAACTGTTTCCTGTCCTCCAGAAGACCCAGTAGGGTTGGGTGGGTCTCTTCCAGCAGGGCTCTGGAATAAGGCGACTCTCTTTTCCCAATCCTTATGACCATCCTGAAAGCCGAAGTTGCCCCGTGGACAGCCTGGACTCCCTCCCTGGGCTGTTTTGGCAGGTAGGAGAGGCTGGAAATGGTGACAGCTCATAGTACCACGGGGCAAGAGGGACTGTGACCATCGAGAAGGGTCACATGGGCAAGTCAGAGACCCACAGAGCCAGGGCAGGTGAGCTGAGGATCCTAAACCCCTTGTTCATCTGCTTCTCAGATTGACAGCTGTAAGATCCTCCCTCCCACCAGGCCCTCCCTTTTCCACTTCCCAGAGGTTCCTCCTGTCACGGCAGGCACCATGGATGCCTGTGATGGCAGGTGGCATGGAAGGACAGGCAGAGAAGGGCAGAAGCCACTGAGGGACCGCAGGGGGAAGAGACGAGATGGAGAAGAGAACATTTGGTGGGGTTAAAGGAAAAAGAGGGCGTTTTTCTGATTGGATCAAGAGGAGTCACTCCTGCTCCACAGCCAAGAGGGGACTGTTGGTGGCTTCTAGGGGAGGCGGAGGATGGCGCACCCTGAACCCTGCAAGATGCCCCAGGACCAGCTAAGCCCTAGCATGGGGCAAGAGAGAGTTAGAGTAGCCGAGAGCCTGAGCAGGCTAAGTGCAGCCCAGAGTGATGGAGATAGCCAGGCTGCGTTTTGTCAGTGTGACACAGACCAGGGTCATTTTGGAAGAGGTACCTCAGCTGACAGGACTCGTCTATCGGATTGGCCTGAGCTCAAGCTTGTGCGGCATTTTCTTGATTGGTGGTTGGCGTGGAAGGGCCCAGCTCAGTGTAGGTGCTGCCACACCTGAGCAGACCATCCTGGGTGCTATAAGAGAGCAGGCTGAGCAAGCCAGGAGGGACAAGCCAGGAAGCAGCACCCCTCCACGGCCTGTGCGTCAGCTCCTGCCTCCGGTGTCTGTTTTGAATTCCTGCCCCGATGTTCCATCATGGTGGTCTGTAATAGGGATGCGTAAGCCAAACGAACCCTTTTCTCCCGAGTTGTTTTTGGTCAGTGGTTTCTCCTAGCAGCAGAAAAGCAAACTGCAGCAGTGTTTTTGGACAACCTTGCAGCTGAGTACGACCGGCTCAGAAAATGGAGCAATTGTTTCCACCAAAGAGTTTTCCCAAGAAGGAAGTGGAGCAAATGAGTGGTCCAGGTGTCAGTCCTGGAGCTCGGGATTTCTCCAGGTGGCAGGAGTAGGCCGGCGGGTGATGCTAATCAGCCAGCTCAGGCTGGGGAAAGCAGAGGAGATGAAAAGTTTATGAGAAGCCAGCCCTAATGCCATCACTGCACCGCACCCTCCTGATGAGGGAAACCATCAACAGCCCTTAGAACAGGGGTGTCTCAACCTTCCGAACGCTGTGAACCTTTAATACAGTCCCTCACATTGTGGTGACAACCCCCCCCCCCAAACCATAAAATCATTTCCGCTGCTACTTCATAGCTATAATCTCTCTACAGTTATGAATCGTAATGTAAATTGGAGAGAGAGCGCGACCCACAGGTTGAGAACCACTGCCTCAGACAACGCTTCAAGGAACGGAACCTTCCTACTCAAGGCTGCCTCACTGAAACGGTGCAACCTCCACTCAAGAATGTTCTTAAGGATGTTCTCAGGCCAGGAAACACCACTCAGGGTATACTCAGCGGCCAGGGACCACGTCAGGAGTGAGGGGCACGTGGAGCAGCTGGTAAAAATGGGGGACTTTAGGAACTGTGGTCAGAAGCCATGTGTTACTCCTATAGGGTCAGAGGTCAGGGTCCGTGGAGCTCTTTAAAGAACACTGAGCGTGTAGACCGGTCAAGATGGCGGGAATTCTGAAGTTCACACGTGCAGAACACTGTCCTTGTTGGAGTGGCCGAGAAGCAGCGTGCTGCTCTCAGAGGAGAGGAGAGGTGGCTAAAGAGATGCCCCTCACACACCCTCACATGCCCACATCCACCCACTGGGGCTCCCGGCTGCACACACCGATGGGCTCACACACAGACATACTCACACACTACCGCACACAAGTGCACACGCGTGCATTCAAGTACTTGTGCATAGACCCTTGCACACACCATGTATTCACACCCAAGCTCACACACCTACACACACAACTGCACGTGTGCACACGTTCTCATCCACGCCGCCGCCACACACGTGCCGCAATGAAACCAAAATAAAATGTGCCAGGTTTGAAACGCTTTTCCTTACTTTGAAAAAAAAAAAAAATGCCATGTCTAGCTACCGCGGTGGATCAAGACAGTCCAAGAAAGCCCAGAAGTTGCTGGAGTCTGGTTGAGGCTCTCTTCTTCTGGCTTGCAGCTCCCGGGAGCCAGTGGCTCGGCTGTGGTACCTCTCAGTAATGACAGTCTGCAGATGGAAAAGGGGGATGGGAGGTAAGCGCACCGAGCAGCCAAGGGCGCCTATGCTCAGAAGCCTGGCTGGCTCCCAAAGGGCAGGTTCTGAGCCAGGACAGAGCCAGACAAGGATGACATCCCAGCCTTAGTGTTCTCTGAGGGCCTGCTCTCCTCAGACTCTTAGAAATTCCCCTGCAAGAAAACGCTGACCAGGGTGCCTGGTCACATGACCAGCACAGCAAAGCATCCTGTCAAGCCTGAGTTCTGATCCCCAGAATCCACATAAAAAGACAGGGATGTTGAGGCATGGCTGTAACCCTGGTACTGAGAGCGGGTTGGGGGTGGGAGAGATACACAGACCCCTGGAACTCACGGCCCAGGCAGCCTAGCCAATCGGTGAGCTCCAAGTTCAATGAGAGACAAAAAGCTATGGTGGAGAGGGGCTAAAGAAGGTACCTGATGTCAAACCCTGGCCTCCACATACAGGTACGTGCATGCACACACACACATATACAGAAGCATTCACCAGAAGGAGGGGCCCTGGGCAGGCGGGAGAGGGTGGGAGTGGCCCGTGCCAGGCCCCAGGCAAACCCCACCTGCAGCCATTTTTACCTTCCACAGACTCTGGGAAGAAGCACCAGGGCAGGTTAGGGATCGCTTCTGAGAAGCAGCAGTTTCGTCGTAAGGTACATTCATCGGGGATGATGTCTGGGTACGCACAGTTCTTTCGGGCTGTCACTTCCATGACACACTGCTCAGATGCTGGTGGTAGACAAGAGCAGCATTACAAGGCTCAGCCAGGCTGGCCCCTCTCTGAGGGCCGCCAGTCCAGCCTTCCCAGCGACCTTGGAGGGCAGGACAGCTGAGAATTGCTGCAGAACTGGGACCTCGGGAAAACCATGTCACCTTCTCTGGACTCAGTGTTCTGCTCTGTGAAATATGGGTAGCCCACGTACCAAGCCCAGGAGAGGCCTGGAGACGCTGGTACCTAAAGAGACCTCACACGCAGCCACTCACCCACCTGCCTTTCCTTCAGAGCACCCTGAACACTGGGGAGGGTATTCCCCCACTGGGAGTGTACCCCAATTGTAAGGTCCATGCTTGCAGAGGACTCACACACAGCTAGCCTCATGCATGCTGTATTCACAGATTGCCCTGGCTTGGAATCCATTCCAAAAACAAAAACAAAAACCTGCCAGAAGCCTCAACATGCTTCTTAATGTCTGCAGACTGTGTGTAGGGGAAGTAATGCCATCTTATCTAAAGACTCCATTTCCCTTTGGGACCTGCTTCGGAAGTTAAGCCTTATAAGTACAGGCAAGTGTAGATCCAGAGTATGGGATTTGGGAAGGGGAATAAAAGAGGCAGTTAAGGCTTCTTTTTTGTTTCCCTGAGCTAGCTCTAGACAAATAGCCAGGCTTGAAAGAACCTGCTCCAGACCTTGCCCACGGCCAGGTGACAGCTGACAGGAGGCCCGGGCTCTTCAAAGTTACCTTGGTTTGGAAGTGGGTAGAAACACCAGGGGACCCCACTGACGCTGGAGTCAAAGCAGCATCCCATGTCGAAGCACTGGTCGCTGGTGATGCCGGGGAAGCCACAGTCCTCCCTGTTGTAGAGTGCCAGCCTAGAGCACCGGCAGGGGGCTGTGGGGAGGTCCACCATGGTCAGACCTGCCCAGGCTGTCAGATGCCTGCCCCAACCTGCTCTGGGGTCTTAGAGACCTTCCACAGTCCCACTGCCCAGAGAGTGATGTGAGGTCTTATTTTGCCCATGTTAGAGATGTCTGGCTTCCTTCTGAGGAAAGCACAGGCTTTTGTTGAAGCCATTTAATTTGTTAAGAAAGGAGAGAAGAGAGAGAGAGAGAGAGAGAGAAAGAACAAAGAAGGAAAGGAAAGAAAGAAAGGAAGAAAGAAAGAAAAAGAAAGAAAAGAAAAAGAAAGAAAAACAGAGCAAGGCAACACAAATCTTCTGAAGAACTTGACTTTGTGGACCTGAGCAGAGGTCAAGGTAGAAGGTGAGCAGGATGGCCTGAAAGCAGCAGATCTCCTGCCCTCCTAGCCAGGCCCACACCTCTACACACGGCCCTTCTGAATAAGATTCTGGGTGAGCATCAACAGCGGCAGCCAGACTGCAGGGTGCTGCCCGGCTCCTCTCAAGCTGTTACGCTGTCTCTGTCCTCTGAGGGGACATAGAAAAGCCCCACCTGCTACAGGTGATGGATGGCCTGGAGCCCACCACTCCCACCTGCAGAGTCTCCAGGGGACTTTTACTTACAAGGTTTCTGGCCTTCCACCAGAGCATACAGCCCTAAGACGAGGACCACTGCCAGGAGATGCGCACCTCGAGGCCCCATGTCTGCTCCACTCTACCTGGGCAGCCTGCAGAATCCCCAGGTCCAAGGAACTGCTGTTTTATTGGCTCCTGTTTGTTTGCTCAATGGCTCTGATAACTGCCCCCTACCAGTGGCCTCACCCCTCTGGATTTTTTGTACAGAAAAGTTGACATAGCTCCAAGTGGAGGCCGGGAGGAGGGAGGGAGAAACCCCTAAGAGGATAGTCCTGGGCTGGGTCACTGAGCAGGAAGCAGGATCGTGCCAGGCTACTCATGGGGAATGGGCCATGTGTGCAGCTGGAGCCGGGCACTTGCAGGGTCACGACCAGAAAGGGATTAGCCATGTGCTGTTACTCTGGATAAAGTTTGTGGTTACCACGGTGGCTTCTGGTTTCTCTGTCTTTTGGTTTTGTTTTAATATCTGGAGGGAGGCTATTGGGGGGGGGAATGAAGAGCACAGAAAAGAGCCTTCCATCCAAGAGCCTTCGTGGGAATGGGGGGCATCTCACAGGATTGTAGAAGGCTCCTCTGGGTACCAACTTTGCATCCCTGATGCAGAGCATGATGCTAGAAGTGAAGAATTAGCTCTCGTCATTGGAAAGGCACTCTTCAACAGTGCAATTCAGCAATTTTGTTCTCCTCCAATTATGTCCTTCTAATATGCAGTGCCACAGACTCAATGCCTGCAGTCCAAAATGGGAAGCTGATCTAGTGAAGAAAAAAAAATGATCCAAAGAAAACACTGAAACTAGCCTGGCTACCATTAAATCGAACAACTCTGTGCCTGGCACTAAGGCCACGTGATGTCATCACTGAGCTTCTGACAGGACTGGGCAGACCCACTCAATAGCCCTACAACTGAAAGCACAGGCTCTGTCTTGGCCAGCTCCACTCACCTCCTGCAGCGTGCCTCAGCAGACATCCCATATCATGCACATCCCCAGCGCTGAGGGTGTCCACTACAGCTTACAATTCCATTTTCCCGATTCACTTCTCAGCCCCTTGGGGCCTGGCCTCAGAGAGTCTTGCCTAGTCTCACAGGCTTTTCTCCAGAAACTTGGAGCAAGCCTCCACGGTCCCGTGACTCTCGCATGCCGCACTTCATGAAAGCAGTGACATGTGCTTGACCTGCTGCCAGATCAAGTCTCTTGGACCACTGCTCTGCTGTGCTCCAGCCCCCACCGAAGCCTGCACAGCTGAACCTGGGCACTGTTTCCCGTGTGGCTCTGTGCAGCAGGCCCTGGTGACTGTCCTGTCAACTACTCTCTTTGCAGTGACTCTTCTTTCTAATGAAAGCCTTTCAAATGAGTTTTCAAGTTTACACCCCGGGGCATTTGAAGGGAGGGATCACCTCTGGTCACCTTTTCTGTTGTTCCAGTGAGGAGTGTGAGGGCTTTTTTGAGTGACACTAAACTCCTTGACAATTAGATGCTTCCTCTAGCCTTGCTTTTCTTGCCAAACCTCACATTGTTCTTTCTTCTTTTCTTTTTTTTGGCTATGATTCTCACTATAAATTTGGGTAAAAGCAGCAAGTAGCAGCTATGCCGTAGCCTGAATGTTATCCTGTCTTGAAATTTCCTCCACCAAAGAAAATTAGTCCATGATTTTGAATTCAGATTCCCGAGACTGTTTAAGGTATGGGCAGAATGTGTCCAAATTCTTTGGCATAATAGAACACAGATGGCCTCTAGCTCAATGCCAAATAATGTTCCTTTCATCTCAACTCTCATGACCATGTTTTTGCGGCCATTTTTTCTACCTATAGGTTTTGGTTTCTGAGCTCCTTTCAGAACATCCCATTAATTTCTGCTTGCAGCATTCTGGGATTTGTCTAACCTCATCTGCAAATTCCTCTACATTTGTTTTTTCCAGACAAGTGACAAAGGCTGATCCATGCGTTCAAATTTAATCACAACACATCACTCCACACTAAGTGTTTTGTATTAGTTAGTTTTCCTCTCGCAGTGATCAAATATTGACAGAAGCAGCTCCAGGGAGCAAATGTTTCTTTTGGCTCACAGTTTGAGAAAGATATCAGTCCATGATAATATAGAAAAAGGCAAGCGTGGCAGAGTGGCTCTGTGGAGGTTAGTATGTGACAGAAGTTGTCAGGTAGCTTCCAGATCAGGAACCAGAGGGCTCAGACCAGGATAAAAGATGACATCGTGTCACGGCCTCTCCTAATAGCCTACCTCTATAAAGCAGGCTTTATTCCTTATGTGTTCTACAATCTCCAAAACCGGATGTCAATTATGTGTCCAAACATTTGAGCCTGTGTGTGTGTGGGGGGGGGGCTCATTTCAGACTCAAACCACGACAGTGTGTAACACAAAAGTAAAAATCTACTATACCCATAACAAAGCAAGGAAACACATCCAACAACCATTAGAAAGGCTGGTGGAGGGCTGGAGAGATGGCTCAGTGGTTAAGAGCACTGTCTGCTCTTCCAAAGGTCATGAGTTCAATTCCTGGCAACCACATGGTGGCTCACAACCATCTATAATGTGAACCGATTCTCTCTTCTGGCAGGCGTAAATTCAGATAGAACACTCATATACATAAAATAAATAAAAAAATTTAAAAAAAAAAAAAGAAAGGCTGGTGGGAAGAAACAAATCCAGAAACTCAAATAACTTTAATGAGGATAATTTTCTTTAAAAAAAAATCACCTTGCAGGAAAAAAATGATTAAGAAAAATCTTAAACAGGCTGAGAAAAACCATTGCATTAACGGCTGACATTTCTCCCTGAAACAATGGAACCTAGCAGTGATGGAACCACCTGTTTAAAGGGCTGGGCCACATCAGAGTGCTATACCCTGGGAAAACATCCCTCAAAACTGTTTTTAGATGTGCAGAAGGTGCTGTTTGAAAATCTGTCCTCCAAGGGACTTCACAGGGAATTCAGGCTGATGTTTCCCCATATTGCCCGACCCAGCCCTTCTCCCAACCCTCAGGCTGGGCTGGCTCAGTCATGGTACCAACTTGACCCTGTGTTAGCTTTCAACATACAGCTTAATAGAGTCTGTACAATTTCTTATTTGGTTTGCTTATTTGGTTTGCACATTGTGGGGAGCCAGACTGATCCAAGCTTTTTCTCAAAGGCTCTAATGAAAGGATGAAGGGAACTTTAGGTCTGTGTCCAGGCTCAGCAAGGCCAGTCTACAGCTATAGCCAGTGCCTCAGAGGAGTCAAGGTGGCAGCTTCCATGTACCAAACCCTTTCCCCCCTGGGGTGTGGTTATCAGTCGTAAGGCAGCTGTGTCTGGGGTATCACATGTTCTGACCTGACCCCCTTTCCAAAGTAAAAATAAAAAAAAATAGGATATATGATGCTCTAGTTCTTAATTGACTTGGTTGGCATAAGTCATCAGCTTAGGCAATATTTCCTGCTCCCAGCTATTGCTCTTGTCTTCTTTATTTCTCACCACGGGTCCTTCCACTCAACACCTTGCTGGTCAGGACCCTTTTAACTATGGGTTCATGGTATATTAATGCCAGTATATTATCGCCAGTATATTAATATATATATAATAAGTATATATAATAAGGCCAGTATATTAATGACTTGCTATGTTTCTACAACAAAACAAACATACAAGCAAGCAAAAACCTGATAAAAGACGTGTAATTATTTGGGACTTATTTGGCTCACAGTTCCAGATCTTGCATAGGAATTGTTGCCCCCACAGCGTTAGTCCTGAAATTATTGCTGAGTGTTGAAGGACTCCAGGAATGGTGGTTGGGTTTAGAAGTTTTGAATGACACAAGAGCCACTTACTCCCTTCTCACAGGTAAAATACTTCTAATCAAGGGATCAATCGCCTGTCCCTGCTTATCCAGGAGTAGCCAGCTGTGTCTCCAGCCCACCCACAGAACTGCTGAAAGACATGAACCCAGCCCTTCTACAGAAACGCTGGCCAGCACACCTTGATACAGCAGAGCCAGGATCCCATTCACACTAGCCTGAGCATCTCCCTGTGTGTGTGCATCTCCCTGAGTCATGAGTGTGTGAGTCACAGATCATTGTTTTCAGTCCCAGCTTTGTGGGCGAAAGGTGTTTGACCATCCTCATAACTTTAGGAAGGGGTCCCTCCCTCTCCAGAGATCTGTACAGTCATATCTTTGGATAGTCTCCAAGGATGTTTGTGGGGTAGATAACCTTAGGAAGCAGATAAGATGTTTCTCTTAGAGCAAAGGGTCCCTGAAATTAGGGTCCCTCCCTACTTTTTGCACTGTACATGAGGTACCCTCTGAGCCTGTCCTGTCCTATTAAGGCAATGGTTTCAGGACCAAGGGAACATCATGCTGCTTGCTCCACCATAAGTAACAGACCCTTTGTCTGTAGCCCAGGTATGGCCAGGCTCCCAACAGCGTTTGTGAGACTCTGGCAAAGCAGACTGTACACTTGCAAGTAACATAAGATGATTGGCCCTTCTCAGACTGAAGGGATTCACCTCCTGAGAGGGGTCAGGTGTGAATTCTTCTGAGGTGTGAATCCCTCCAGGCCCTCTGCTAACTGGGATGAGGGTCACACCCCTGCCAGCACATTCAGTGTCTGAATGTGATAGTTTTGTGTAATCGAATCTGCTGCTCAGAAAAGTTCATCCTGCTGTTAATCGCCGAGAAAAGAGGTTAAGATACCATGTATGGATATAACCTAGAACCTCTGCTCAAAAGAAGCCCGTGGTAGCTCAGTAACCAATTGGTTTCCCATAGTAAGGGGAACAGGCACCATTTCTGACAGAAACTCAATGGCAGGCTCTTGGACCTCCCTACCCCCGAAGGGAGGAGCAGTCCTGCTAGGCCACAGAGGAGGACTTTGCATCCAGTCCTGAAGATACCTGATAAAACAGGGTCAGAAGAAAGGGGAGGAGGTCCTCCCCTATCAGTGGACTTGAAAAGGGGCAGGAAGGAGATGAGGGAGGAAAGGAGGGATTTGGAGGTATGAGGGAGTGGGATACAGCTGGGATACAGAGTTAATAAAATGTGACTAATAAAAAATAAATTTAAAAAAAAGATGTGCCTTTGAAGTCCTGTTCCTTGTCCTTGGGGCCCTGACCACAGGCTTCCTGGTGGCTGTCAAAGCTCTCCAGGAAACTCCACGGCTGACGCTTGGCAGCTTGGTGTCTTCCTCCTTGGCTCATGCTCCCCACCAGGCTTCCAAGCCGTCATTTGTGCCCACACGTGGCTTCTCTCCACTGTCCCAGAGTCAAGGATGTTTTCCTAAGTTACCATTATCGTTCTTCAATGCTATAAATGACCCTGCAAACACGATCAAAAGCCACAGCTTGAACTTGAGCACTGGTTCCTGGTCTGGCCCTCCGTTCAACAGTGGATAGAAGCCCAGCCTTGTGTGGGGTGTTCTCTGGAGTCAATGGTCTGGAACAGAAAGGCTTACAGACCAGGCAAAGGCACAGCCCACACAGCGTGGTGTATCACCCTCAGAGCTCAGTGGAAGCATGGGGAAGAAGAAGTTAACAGCTATGAGATATTCAGGGTCCTTCCCTGCCCCAAGATTGTGGTCACAGGCACCACAGTGGAGACTCAAGTCAGTGGCCCAAGCTGGAACATGAGCCATGCTCTCACCTTACCTCTGCCTCAGGGTAAGGGTGCCTGGGCATCCCCGTGACTCGCAGAGCACTGGGTCTCTACCCTGCCTGTTAGGCTGAGCACATGTGGTCCACCTGCACCTCAGTGGATCCCAGGTGTGAGGTTGCCACAGGCAAGGCAGAGCTGTGGCCCTTTCCATTCCTCTGCCTCTCTCTCTCTCTCTCCCTCCCTCTCCCTCCCTCCTTCTGTGCCTCCCCTCCCTCAGGGCTGGGAGTTGACTCTAGGGCCATCCATGTCCTAGGCAAGCACTCTGCCCCTGAGCATACTCCCTAGCCTACATTTTATGTTTTATTTTGAGACAAGGTTTCAACAAATCACTCAGTCTGGCCTTGAACTCACTCTGTAGCCCAGGCAGGACTTGAACTCATGATCCTCCTGCCTCAAGCTTCCGGAATAGCAGTGACTGCTGGTCCGCTAGGACCACCCCTTTCCATCATTTCTGACTCCTTGCCTCTCCTCATCATATGGCACGCCTTCAAGAGTCCCAACTCACTTGCCAGCTACAAGAAATAAGTCTTAGGGTGTCACTCCTGTCTCACAAGCATCTCTGGGTGCCCAGTGTCTACACTGGATGCACCTTCCGTTCTGCAGACTTTCCACTTACAGGAGTTAACCAGTCTCGAACAATACCAAACAACTATGACGCCAAACCTTTGATGAGTGCATGGATCGGGGCTCCGTTGCTGCAAGTCACTAAGTCTCCTAGGATGGCCTTGAACTGGTGATCCTCCTACCTCAGCCTCCTGAATAGCTGTGATAGCAGGTTTGAACCACCAGACTGTGTTGCTGTGGGTGGAGTTGGCCCTCCACGCCCCAGATCCACCAGCTGGAACTAGCCCCAGTGCCTTCCAGTTGCCTGCATTTTATTGACAACATCTCCTCCTCCTTCATTTTGTTGTTTCCAAAGCAATGTGTTCACAAAACTCTTTATTCACTGTGCCAGCAGCAGTCTCCCATGTGTTACTGTGCTGACAAAGATGTCAAGAAGACTTAAGGAATTCCTGGCATTTGGTTAGGATGGAGGGTCTGTATCTGAGCACATTCTACGGAGGGACTCATTTGACCAGTGCCTGTTGAAGGTGTTTTATTTCAAACAGATCTTGGTTCTTAAAGTCCTAGGTCCTGAGAATGAGGCACGCGCTGACAAGCCACAAGCTGACTCACTGGTTCTGATTCAAAAGCCTCGGGTTTCTTGCAGAGTAGGGAACAGATGCCAAAAGTGCAGAGGGGCCATGAGCACAGAGCAGAGCTCTGTCCACAGAGCCTGGGTGGGTCCGGGACCGATCCACCTGCAGAGATTAATGGCTGGGTAACGTGGCAATTGCAAAACATGCTATTAGCTTTCGTTGCTAATAGCTTAAACAGCACCGTGGCACTAATCTGTTCAAATCAGCCTCCAGGAGGTGGCCTGTGTACACAGCCGTGTCACCCTGCCTTCAGGGGCGTGTCCCCAAATGTGCCAACGGGAACACCGCCTTTACAAAGGAGTCACAGTGGTTGAAAGAATGATTTTTTATTAAGCACGTGGGAGGTGGGACAGTGTGCTTTAATTAAATAAACATCACAGCAGTGATCCCGGCGGGTGTGGACGGGGGAGTTACTCCTGCCTAGAGACACCCTAAGGCATGCTATGACGAGGCAATGAGCCCAGAGAGCGATTTTGTCGAAATGGAATTTTAAAATAAAGATCGTTCCCAGAGCTTTTCATTACGATGGTAATGTGCACGGGCACTGGGCAGCCTAGGGTTCTGTACGTGTTAAAGAAAATAAGCTGGGGCTGGAAGGCTGGGTGAGCAATAAAAACACTTGCTGCTCTTGCAGAAGCTCCAAATCCAGTGCCCAGGACCCCCAGAAGACATCTCAGAACTGCTTGTTCCTCTAGTTCCTGTCGGGCCACTTCAGGCCCCTACACACACACACACTCTCTCTCTCTCTCTCTCTCTCTGACACACAAATGCACACATACACACACAAATAAAGTCTTAGAAAAGGCAGAAAAGCATTTGTTTTACCCAAGGCTTATACTAAATTTAAAAAGCTATCAAGTACACAGGTATCCCTCAGACAGGAGAGCAGCCTGCAGTATGGCTTTAAGATTTCTTTATTTACCTATGTGTTATGTAAATAACAGGGATAACAGAATCTGGAACACTGTTTGTAAACTAAATAGGAAACTCAAAAGCAAAATCCAAGCACCATATCTTGGGAGTGGAGAATCTCTTGTCAGAAATGGGAGAAGCCCCCCCCCCCACACACACACACACATACCACAGATCCTCATGAGCTGATGGAGCAGAATGGCCAAGTGCAACCAGTACGTAACAGCTTTGCAAATGGAGGTCTGTATGAGAGCTTCGAGTCTCAAAGGGTCACTGCCAAATGCCATCAGCTGCTCATCTCCCTGTGCGGTTGTGCCCTTGGGAGGTGTGATGGGGCTTAGGTCAGCTTTGGCTTCCTTTTCTGCACAGCTCAGCTGAAAGAAACCCCTTCACCCACGCTCACCACACAGCTGCACCATCCTACCAGACCCTTTGTGATGGTTGAGCTTAGGTAGCAGAGTGTCACGCTGGACCTATGGTGATAGCACTTGCCTTCTTTTCCCAGCTCTTGGGAGGCAAAAGCAGGTGGATCTCTTGAGTTTGAGGCTAGCCTGGTCTACAGAGTGGCAGGACTACAGGACAGCAAGGACTACACAGAGAAACCCTGTCTCCAAAACCAAAACAGCACAAAGCTAAAGCAAAATCCTGTCTATCTTTGGTCACCTTGCTCTGCCGGGTATGTGGGCCACGTGGCTTGCCAAATCTGCTCAGCTCAGGTGGCGTGCTTGCTGCTGACCAGAACCGGACGACGGTTTAATTGAACTATGAAGGAAGATGCAGGCCTTAGGAATGTGCTGAGTTCAGGTTAAAAATCCCAGCATGCAATGGTTTAAACTCTAGAGATGCTTGAGCTTAGAAGCCTGAGAGTGTGTGGTGGGTTGGTCCAAGCTCTAGATCCGGGCCCTTCCTCATTACCACAGACTGACTGCCTGGAACACATTGTTATACCTCTGTACCATAGCAGCCAAAGGACAGCCTTGGGGCCATGTAGGAAGCCAGAGGCCACTCTTTCTTGCCACCTCTAGCTGGGAGGGCCTGAAAAGGGAGCACTTTCCCTCATTCCCCATAGTTGAGGGCGAGGTAAGAAAGAAGAGGAGGTGTGGGAGGGGGTACAGGCCAGCACCCACGGTACGGGCCAGCCGCAAGACGTCATAGGACACCCCCTTCTTGCCACCGAGGAGTTGCTGTGAGAAGCCAGCTCAGGGCAGACCTGCTGGCTGTATTCCAGGGGACCCCAGGGCTGTGGCCTCATGGACGGCTCAGCAAAATACACAGAGACACAGGGGCAGGTTACAGACCCTCGGCTCTCTCCCAGGACGGAGGACCAAAGAAGCTGTGTAGATTATCCCCGATCTGAGGCTTAAGGGTCCTACCAAACCCAAGCACACACACCAACACACACAACTGCACGCGTGCACACGTTCTCATCCACGCCGCGGCCAAACACCTGCCGCAATGAAACCAAAATAAAATTTGCCAGGTTTGAAACGCTTTTCTTTACTTGGAAAAAAATAATGCCGCATCTAGCTACCACAGTGGGTCAAGACAGTCCAAGAAAGCCCAGAAGTTGCTGGAGTCTGGTTGAGGCTCTCCTCTTCTGGCTTGCAGCTCCTGGGAGCCAGTGGCTCGGCCCTGGTACCTCTCAGTAATGACAGTCTGCAGATGGAAAAGGGGGATGGGAGGTAAGCGCACCCAGCAGCCGAGGGCGCCTATGCTCAGAAGCCTGGCTGGCTCCCAAAGGGCAGGTTCTGAGCCAGGACAGAGCCAGACAAGGATGACATCCCAGCCTTAGTGTTCTCTGAGGGCCTGCTCTCCTCAGACTCTTAGAAATTCCCCTGCAAGAAAACGCTGACCAGGGTGCCTGGTCACATGACCAGCACAGCAAAGCATCCTGTCAAGCCTGAGTTCTGATCCCCAGAATCCACATAAAAAGACAGGGATGTTGAGGCATGGCTGTAACCCTGGTACTGAGAGCGAGTTGGGGGTGGGAGAGATACACAGACCCCTGGAACTCACGGCCCAGGCAGCCTAGCCAATCGGTGAGCTCCAAGTTCAATGAGAGACAAAAACTATGGTGGAGAGGGGCTAAAGAAGATACCTGATGTCAAACCCTGGCCTCCACATACAGGTACGTGCATGCACACACACACACATACAGGAGCATTCACCAGAAGGAGGGGCCCTGGGCAGGCGGGAGAGGGTGGGAGTGGCCCGTGCCAGGCCCCAGGCAAACCCCACCTGCAGCCGTTTTTACCTTCCACAGACTCTGGGAAGAAGCACCAGGGCACCTGAAAGATCAAGTCGGAGAAGCAGCAGTCTCGAGAGGCGCACTCCTCGGGGCTGATGCCTGGGTACCCACAGTTCTCTCGAGCTGACGCTTCCATGACACACTGCTCAGATGCTGGTGGTAGACAAGAGCAGCATTACAAGGCTCGGCCAGGCTGGCCCCTCTCTGAGGGCCGCCAGTCCAGCCTTCCCAGCGACCTTGGAGGGCAGGACAGCTGAGAATGGCTGAAGAACTGGGACCTCGGGAAAACCATGTCACCTTCTCTGGACTCAGTGTTCTGCTCTGTGAAATATGGGTAGCCCACGTACCAAGCCCAGGAGAGGCCTGGAGACGCTGGTACCTAAAGAGACCTCACACGCAGCCACCCACCCACCTGCCTTTCCTTCAGAGCACCCTGAATACTGGGGAGGGAATTCCCCCACTGGGAGTGTGCCCCAGTGGTAAGGTCCATGCTTGCAGAGGACTCACACACAGCTAGCCTCATGCATGCTGTATTCACAGATTGCCCTGGCTTGGAATCCATTCCAAAAACAAAAACAAAAACCTGCCAGAAGCCTCAACATGCTTCTTAATGTCTGCAGACTGTGTGTAGGGGAAGTAATGCCATCTTATCTAAAGACTCCATTTCCCTTCGGGACCTGCTTTGGAAATTATGCCTTAAAAGTACAGGCAAGTGTAGATCCAGAGTATGGGATTTGGGAAGGGGAATAAAAGAGGCAGTTAAGGCTTCTTTTTTGTTCCCCTGAGCTAGCTCTAGACAAATAGCCAGGCTTCAAAGAACCTGTTCCAGACCTTGCCCACGGCCAGGTGACAGCTGACAGGAGGCCCGGGCTCTTCAAAGTTACCTTGGTTTGGAAGTGGGTAGAAACACCAGGGGACCCCACCGATGCTAGAGTCAAAGCAGCATCCCATGTCGAAGCACTGGTCACTGGTGATGTCGGGGAAGCCACAGTTCTTCCTGTTGGAGGGTGTCACCCTAGAGCACCGGCAGGGGGCTGTGGGGAGGTCCACCATGGTCAGACCTGCCCAGGCTGTCAGATGCCTGCCCCAACCTGCTCTGGGGTCTTAGGGACCTTCCACAGTCCCACTGCCCAGAGAGTGATGTGAGGTCTTATTTTGCCCATGTTAGAGATGTCTGGTTTCCTTCTGAGGAAAGCACAGGCTTTTGTTGAAACCATTTAATTTGTTACGAAAGGAGATAAAGAGAAAGAAAGAAAGAAAGAAAGAAAGAAAGAAAGAAAGAAAGAAAGAAAGAAAGAAAGAAAGAGAAAGAAAGAAAAAAGAAAAGAAAAAGGAAGGAAGGAAGAGAGAAAGAAAGAAAAGAAAAGAAAAAAGGAAGGAAGGAAGAGAAAAAGAAAGAAAGAAAGAAAAAGAAGAGCAAGGCAACACAAATCTTCTGAAGAACTTGACTTTGTGGACCTGAGCAGAGGTCAAGGTAGAAGGTGAGCAGGATGGCCTGAAAGCAGCAGATCTCCTGCCCTCCTAGCCAGGCCCACACCTCTACACACGGCCCTTCTGAATAAGATTCTGGGTGAGCATCAACAGCGGCAGCCAGACTGCAGGGTGCTGCCCGGCTCCTCTCAAGCTGTTACGCTGTCTCTGTCCTCTGAGGGGACATAGAATAGCCCCACCTGCTACAGGTGATGGATGGCCTGGAGCCCACCACTCCCACCTGCAGAGTCTCCAGGGGACTTTTACTTACAAGGTTTCTGGCCTTCCACCAGAGCATACAGCCCTAAGATGAGGATCACTGCCAGGAGATGCGCACCTCGAGGCCCCATGTCTGTTCCACTCTACCTGGGCAGCCTGCAGAATCCCCAGGTCCAAGGAACTGCTGTTTTATTGGCTCCTGTTTGTTTGCTCAATGGCTCTGATAACTGCCCCCTAGAAGTGGCCTCACCCCTCTGGGTTTTTTGTACAGAAAAGCTGACATAGCTCCAAGTGGAGGCCAGGAGGAGGGAGGGAGAAACCCCTAAGAGGATAGTCCTGGGCTGGGTCACTGAGCAGGAAGCAGGATCGTGCCAGGCTACTGATGGGGAATGGGCCACGTGTGCAACTAGAGCTGGGCACTTGCGGGGTCACGCCCAGGAAGGGATTAGCCATGTGCTGTTACTCTGGATAAAGTTTGTGGTTACCACGGTGGCTTCTGGTTTCTCTGTCTTTTGGTTTTGTTTTAATATCTGAAGGGAGGCTATGGAGGGAAATGAAGAGCACAGAAAAGAGCCTTCCATCCAAGAGCCTTCGTGGGAATGGGGGGCATCTCACAGGATTGTAGAAGGCTCCTCTGGGTACCAACTTTGCATCCCTGATGCAGAGCATGATGCTAGAAGTGAAGAATTAGCTCTCGTCATTGGAAAGGCACTCTTCAACAGTGCAATTCAGCAATTCTGCTCTCCTCCAATTACGTCCTTCTAATATGCAGTGCCACAGACTCAATGCCTGCAGTCCAAAATGGGAAGCTGATCTAGTGAAGAAAAAAAAAATGATCCAAAGAAAACACTGAAACTAGCCTGGCTACCAT